CAAAATCGTACGAAATTTTTCAACTGTAGAATGATCCAGGAGCACTTACTTAGATATAGATTCTCAAAAAGTGTTGAGACTTGCACGGCCTAACTTGCGACCTCACGACTTCTCAGGTTGTTCGTCACGGAAAGGATCTCAAAATTATTGATGAGTGTAGCTGAGCGTAGAACCTTAATATTGTTCTCTCGAAATGCGGCATTAGAAACGCAGCACGTATGTATGGGGAATGCATTTTCCAATCCTCGGGCTAACCTCCCTGTCCTTCCTCATTTATTCCTCCTCCTCCTCCAATCCTCGAACTTACACATCCCTATAGCTTAAAACAAGTATTTCTTCGCGCGCGCCTTGAGTGTTCCATATATATTCGCCTTTATACAAAGCAGGCATAGGGACCCCTGAAGATTTTCGATTGGATTTTCTGGCACATTCATTTGGAGCCCACGAGTGCTTCCTATCAACCCAGGTGGCTTGGCTGCTTCACGCAAACATGTTCTTACGTACACGTGCAAAGAATGGAGCATCGTGTGACCATTCTAAGTTGTACTAAATGAAAACAGAACTTTGAAAATTACGAGTTACACACGTGTCTGGGCGAGCAAGGGTAGTTTTATTTACATCTTGAAAGCTTTGAAGAGGCCCTTAAACAGTTTTTCAAGTAACCGTGGAATGAATCCACTGGAAGAGCTTATTGCCTCACGAATTCAACGCCGTAAACATTTCAAGAATCCGTCCAGTGCGAGTGGAGTTACAAAGGTTTATCGCATGCTGAAATCGCATTCTCTCTTCTCTCGTCCTGACGAAAGCGCTGGAAGCTGAGCAGGGAGGGATGGAAGGGCCACTGAAAAACGTCACACGCGCTTAGCTACTTTGAGCGCTTTTGTTTTTCTTTGAATGTGCGGATTTTTCAGGGTGATCGCGTGCGTACGCGTGGACAAGTAACGGTCTCTCGCGGCGATCTCTGTAACAAGCGAGCGCACCATGTTCAAATCAGCCAATGGCTGATAGATGGGTGGTTGACGTGTGATTTTTTTGGCATTTAACGTAATTTGTCGAAAAAATAGAGAGTAATTTTTAGCTGACGTTGATAATTTATTGTGAATTCCAGGCCGCGTGCTGTACTATAATAGTTGGCTCGCGTGTTGTAGGCAGCCTCTGCCACCGATCGGCAGCGTTTTCTGACCATGCTCGAAAAGTGTTGCAGGGCCCCTTTAACAAAGCTTCGTTTTCTTCAAAACAGGGCAACGGCTCAGCTTGAAACTGAAGAGTACTCCTGTTGTGTAGTCCTGTATTTCTTCTTGTATACGCTGGATGAAAAGCTTGGAACAAGGTATGCCGCTTGAGTAAACATTTTGACAAATGGGCTCATAATCACCGCGGTAGATTCGTCAACCAGAGCAGGATAAAGACACACCTAACAATTGTTCATTTCCGCCATCAGCTAGAGCAAATATCTCAAACATGTGGCCCACACATGACTCGTTTTCCTTATATTTTTAACGCAATAGTGTTAAGGAGTTTGTTTTGCAGAAATTCCGGCGTCGACGTCACTGGTTGTGAGCAAAAAATCATCTTCTTATGCGTGACCGAAAAATTTAGAACGATGCAAATAAAATAAATAAATGATAAATAATTCCCGCATATCTACGGAGTGAGTGATGATGAGGGAGCGAATCGTCCGTTCATCCATCCGTGCTTCTGTCCATGCGTCCGTTCGTGCATCCGTCCGTCCATCTGTCTGTCTGTCTGTCTGTCTGTCTGTCTGTCTGTCTGTCTGTCTGTCTGTCTGTCTGTCTGTCTGTCTGTCTGTCTGTCCATTAATTCATGCGTTCGAATGCGTTTGAGAATGCAGACGGCGCGCGGGTAAAATAAACGAGACGCACGCCAAGCATCTTCAATGCGCCCGCCGGTCTGCTTGGTCCATTCTCCACCAACAATCTGCCACGTATGGCGACTATCCAATAGACTGGGGAAAGCACTCCTTCCTCGCGCGCCCAGGCACAACTCGCGCAGCAGCCAATCCGACAGTATCAGTACAGTTCCATCTAGAATATTCTAACTCAACTGCTGTTTGTACGTACTTCTATGAGACAGTGCCGTCTATTAAACTGTTTGAGAGATACTGGCTTCCTTTTTTCTCGTCTCTTCTGCTCTCGGTTACGCCATGCGCAGGACAAGGCTAGACTAAGAGAAGCTTCGTCCCTAAATATTCTCGAGCAGAGTGGGGACCAAACAAGGGTTGTTTGGGTTTAAGTGGGGTTTGAACCCGGGTCGTTTGCTTGGCAAGCAGATGTTCCACCACATGGCCCCGCCTCTGCTTGTAAAACAGTGAAAATAAGTTGTTCTGCTTGGAATTGCACTGAAAGTTGTTTTCATGCTTAATGAACACACGCATCCTCTATACATGCTTCACAATGCAACATGAAGTATTGCAGTAATAATGCATGGTACAAGCGTCCTTTGCCAAAGGGCTTAAAAGTGTGGCAGTTTGGGCTAGTTGGTATGACATGATGGTAGTTATAGAGCGAGAACAAAACGACGACAAAGATACAAGAAGGAGGCAAAGTCTCCTTCTTGTCTTTTTTCTGTCGTTCTGTTCTCGTGCTACAACTACCATCATGTAATGCCATCAAGTCATCATGTCATGCCATCATGCCATAACTACCATCAAGTCATCATGTCATCATATAACTATCACCATGTCAAAGGGTGTCAGAATATGTGATTTTCATAATGGCCCCATAGCTGAAAGCGGGTACCTCACTACAAAAGGCACACACACTACTGCCCATATTCCCTTCAGGCTACGTAGGGGGTGCATAGCAAATTCGAAAAGGTTTCACGCATTAAGTGTTTGAAGTACGTCCTAGGAACAGGACTTCGCTATTACGTTCAATTCCTAAAGGCAAAGTCTTAGAGTCCCCCTTTTTTATTACTATTTTCAGTATGTTCGCGAGCTACATAGGCATGACCTATTTAAACCATTTTATTAATAATAACCGGGGCTCTACATGTAAAAACCCCTATATATGATTATGCGACACGCCGTAGTGGAGGGCTCCGGGAATTTCGACCATTTGGTGTTCTTTAACGTGCACCCACATTACAGAATACCATTTCGTCTTGATAAAAATGCGACAACCGCGGCCGAGATCGATCTAAAGCATTTTATTGGCCGATGCACCCCATGTTGTCATCGCAAATTGATACACAACAGTGAAACAGGACTCTACATATCATAATCGGCGTCCGGATTTTAGTCATCTTATAAAGTGTCGATCTTTGTAACAAATCCACTTCAGAAGTGGCCCATACATGAGATATGGGGAAGGTATTCTTTCAAATGGCAACGTTATACGACATTTAAGACAGCCTCTTTGTTCCTTCCCCAACTTTTTTTTTTGTTTTGGTAACTGTCTTGGCCCTTCCGAAAGTCAGTTTTTGTGACTGTGGCCTGTAAACTGAGCTGCGTTCGAGACCCTTGCTCTAGGGTATCCCGAGTTGGTATGCCGCCAAACGATCCTTGTTCTTGTTCTTGTTGACATTCACTTGTAGCCCATACCCACTGTGGGCTATTGGCCAACGTTTGCAAACGATCCTCAGCCGTTGTCGGCGTCGTCATCGTCATCGTCGTTGTTAAGCAAGAGGATTTCCCTCTATTCTCCAATATCTATATAATCCATCACCTTGTAAAATTATACTTCCGTTGTCACATCAACTGCTTTCGTCCGACTGCGGCACGATGCCAATGCACAAAACAACACTCTATAAATGCCAATGCTCCGATGTCTTACCGCTAAGAGACAACCGAATGGCAGGTATAAGGCTAAATCAGTGGGAGCCTCCAGATCCACGTTATGACACCGTCGTTGCGGCGCGCTACCATCATAGGTGAGAAAGAACGAACGCTCTTTCAGAAAGCTGAACAAAGAGAAAGAAGGCGACTCTGATATTATGTTAGAACACGCGCGTGAAGAACAAAAACAATACGTGTGCAGAAACGCTTTCTTCTTTTTTTGTTCTAGCAATTGTCACTGCTCGGTATACGACGCACGGGCGTGTTGAAGACGGCCGTCGTTTCATCGCGGGCAACAACCCAGCAAGATGAGCTACTGTGCGGTGATAATAGTTGCAAACAGGGAGACGTCGGCGTATATTCCGAGAGAGCCCAGTACTTTCCCGCATGGAATGTTATTCTCTCATGACGTTGATCACTTCTTTCGTCTTCTTCTCTTTCTTTTTTTTATATCGCATAATGGGGGCCTGAATTAGGACAATTACACATCGCATAACGTCAAGCCCATATATTTCCACATTTACGTGTGACGGTGTGCCGATCGTGTATACGTGAGACACAGCTAGGTGGGAGATTAGCCGAAAACCCATCTGAGTTAACAAAAAAATTCTTAAACATTTAGTTATATTCTGCGGGTTAACAATAATAATGAGCTAAGAATTATTCCCAAATTAAAAATATTGTCTCTTCAGATTAGATGACTACGAAACTACGGATATCATGTAGAAATATGAACAAGGAATATTACTATTTGAAAAAAATAATAAAAATATTAGAATTGAATATTGATTTTGTGTCCCAACTATAAATGTTCTTTTTTTCAACATTCATCGTTATTTAATGTCAAGACAGTAACTTTACAGCACATCTACATATTTTTTGTCAAATACCCCCGTGGGGGATCATCATCGTCCATGAGCGTTCACAACAAGCGCGAGCGCTGAGAAGAAGGTGCGTCAAAGAAGAAAGATAGGGCGTCAGTCGTACAACCGCAAGCATGTCAAGCTCTAGCGAAGGCTTCCCTTCCACATCGGAAGATATGCTGCACAATACCAAGCAGAAGTCGACTGCCAAGACAAAGATGTTGACGTCAGTTCCAGAGGCAAAGCCAGAAGCCGCAGGAAGATCACCCTCAATCAAGCAAGTCCAAAAGTATTCGGCAGGCAAAAACACTTCCAGACAGAAGGCACCAGCGAGCACGGAAATGCCTTCAAAGAAGCTTTCCTGGGAAAAGCTCACGCCTCAGAAGATGGCTTCGAAGAAGCACACCACCTTACCGGATGGCCAGTCGGATATAACCACGTCCAGCCGCAAGAGCGTTCAAAAGGTAACTTCTGTTCTGCTTTACGCGCTCAGCAAAGACACAACCACACGAGACGCTAGCTAGCAAGGGACTGTTTATTGATGGCTGCCGCGCCGCGCGCGCGCCCTCTCTCAAGGTGGCCAGGTGAGGTGGGATCATCCCGATTTATTAAGCGGTGGCCCGCCTGGTACATCCTCCTTTTTCTTTAGGTGATGTAGTCGGCAAAGCGCGTCGGTGCTCTACGTGGCCTAGTTGATCTTCTGAGACTCGAGTCGGCTGCTTCTTGTGCCTGGCAAGTGACCTTATGCTGGGACGGGACCACGTCGGGGTCCCTTGATGGTTGACTTGCAATGGGTGGTGCACGTGCAGCTGACTGGTTCAGTAGAGCATCCGATGCAGGCGCCTGTTGTGACGGATGTCGTTCCTTTCGTGATGCGGATGCTGTTGTCAAATCGGGCGCTGTATCTGATGTTGAATGTTGTCTATGCTGTATAGGCGACGGGATTATCGGTGCGACATCCTTGTCATCCAGTGGGTCTAAGTGTTCGGGCGTCCTTTTTAGATGCTGACGATTCCTTCGATAACGCCGGCCTTCATCTGTACAGACTATGTAAGATCTAGGGCCAGCAAGTTTCTCTACTCGGGCTTTCGGAAACCACCCCTTGTCGTTTCTTATTCTGACGACGTCCCCTTCGGAGAGAGGTGTGAGAGGTATGCCTTTGCCGTGATCCTGTGGATGTTTCCGCACTGACGATGTCGAAGCCGATGAGAAGTCTGGAAGTCGTCCCCGAAGCATCCGTCCCATAAGGAGCTGACTTGGTGTGCGTCCGTCTATCAGGGGCGAGATTCGATAATTGAGCAGTGCAACCCAGAACTCCTCGCCAGCGTACTCACTTTTCTTCAAGAGGCGCTTTACGACCTGTACCCCTTTCTCAGCTAGACCATTGGCCCTGGGGAAGTGTGGACTGGATATGGTATGAGTAAAATCGTATTTTACTGCAAACTGTCTAAACTCTCGCGATGTGAACTGTGGTCCTCCATCGGTACAGACTTCAATGGGTATACCGTGGCGAGCAAACATGGTCCCTAGTGTGTCCACTACGACCTGACTTGTTGACTGAGGCAACTGTTCCACTTCTGGGTAGTTGGAGTAGGCACAGTACGCAACCAGGTAACGCTTGCCCCCATGGTCAAATAGGTCGACACCAATTCGCTGCCACGGCCGCGTTGGGATTTCCCTCGATAACAGTGGCTCTGAAGGTTGCCGGTAGGCAAAGTGCTGACATGTGGCACACTTGCTAATGAGTGACTTGATGTCAGCATTCATCCCAGGCCAGTACATCAGAAGGCGTGCTCTGGCTTTGCACTTGCTCATTCCCAAATGGCCTTCATGAAGACGTTGCAGCATGGATCGCCTCAGACTCTTTGGGATTACCACCCTGCTGCCCCGCAAAAGCACTCCATCAACATATGACAGTTCTGACAAACATGGAGCTAGTTCGCCTGAGACTGGTCGTCCTTCCTGGAGTGCCTCCACCACTTGCTTGAGGTATGGGTCCGCCAGGATTGCAGAGGTCAGTTCAGTCTTCGTGTTCTCACTTACGATGCTGGCTAGCACGCGAGTCGCATGGATGCATACGTCTTGTTCGCTTTCTCCGTCACTCGGTTGGGTTCCTGGAATTCGGGACAGTGTGTCCGCCACTAGCAGATGCTTCCCAGGAACATATTGCAATTTGATATCAAAAGGCATTAGCCTCAAGAAATAGCGCTGCAATCGTGGCGGCATTTCACTCAGGTTCTTTTGTGAAATAGCAAGCAAGGGTCGGTGGTCTGTTTCGACTGTCACTGATAACCCCAGTACGAACTCCCGGAAACGCTCACAAGCAAACGTCACGGCCAGCGCTTCCTTTTCAATTTGGGCATATTTTGTTTCAGCCTTTGAGAGCACCCTTGAAGCATAACCCACTGGGCGCCAATCTTGGTCATGGAGTTGAAGAAGAGCAGCACCTACTGCAAAGCTTGATGCATCAGCTGAGAGTTTCGTTTGCTTCACTGGGTCAAAAACTGCGATCACTGGAGCCGATGTCAAAGCCTTAATAAGATCTTTCCATTCTTTGTCATGGTGAACTTCCCATATGAATTCAACATCATTCTTTATCAATGACCTAAGGGCGTCAGTTCTTTTTGAGAGATTAGGTATGAATTTGCCAAAGTAATTCATAATACCTAAAAACCTTTGAACTTCCTGTTTACACGACGGCTTTTGCATGTTGGCAACGCATTCAATGAGACTAGCATCGGGTTTTATTCCTTCTTTGCTGATACAATCTCCCAGGAATTTAACTTCGGCCTTCGCGAACAGACACTTTTCTTTGTTCAGTGTCAGGCCAGCCTTTCTCGCTGCCATCAGTGCTGCACGCAGGCGTTGATCATGCTGCTCTTTTGATGCACCCCAAATTAAAATATCATCGACATATACGCGTGTGCCCGGCAGGTTTTCAAACACTTCCGTCATTGCCTTCTGAAATACTTCGGGGGCGGACGCGATACCAAATGGCAGGCGCAAAAATCGGTATCTTCCGAACGGCGTGCTAAAGGTGCAGATCTTTGAAGTGTCTTCGTCTAAGGGGATCTGGTGAAACCCGCTATTGGCATCAAGCTTGGTGAACATCACCGCTCCTGCCAGCTCTGCTTCTATTTCTTCACGTGAGGGTAGCTGATAATGCTCGCGTTTAAGGCTTCGATTAATGTACCGCGGGTCTAGGCATATTCGCATGCGGCCATTCTTCTTCATAATAAGAACAAGTGGACTCACCCAGTCTGACGGCTCTTCCATTTTGCATATGATGCCCTGCGAGACCATCCGGGCCAACTCCTGCTTAAGTGGCGCTCGCAGTGCGTGTGGCACTTTCCTCGGCGGCATGATCGTGGGGCGCGCATCATCCTTCATTGCCAGCGAATATGGTCTACGGATGCAGCCCAGACCGTGGAATAACTCCGGGAACTCGGTGACCCAGTCGGTGCTAACGTCACTTCTTGAAGATACATCGTGAACGCGGGAAATCAGCCCGAAACGTTCTGCTGCATTCAATCCGAGTAGGACTTGCTTGCCTCTCTTGACCACAAAAAAACTGATATTCTCTTGCTGCTCTCCTAGACGTAGTGGCAGACTGATAACGCCCAAATGATGTATTTTGCTTCCTTCGTAGTTAGTAAGTACTGTGGTCGATGGCCGCACCATGGTCGGCAAACGCATCCTGCGAAAGTACGAGTACGGCAATATGTTCGCTTGCGCTCCTGTATCCACTTTCAGTTCTGTCGGGTGCCCGGCAAGGTCCCCTGCCACCGTCCAATCCTGATTTTTGGACACGTTTCTGATTTGTACCGTGAGAACTTGAATGTCTTCATCGGTAGCGTCCGAGGACTCCTCCAGTGCATCTTCTGTTGCAGCGACGCCTAACTCATGAACGCCGCGTCTACTCCTGCAGCAAGCTGCAAAATGGTTTCTTTTGTTGCACAGCGTGCACGTTTTTCCAAACGCTGGGCAGCGTCTTGGTCCGTGAATCTTGCCACAGTAGCCACAGCGTCGACGTTGTCCGCTCGTACGAGACTGTCCGGCAGCGTTTGCAATTTTTTCGACTCTCTGCACTTTCGCTTCGCTTTCAAGAGCCCGGTTCTGCGTTGCTGCCAGTTCCGCGGCTTTGCAGATTTCTACAGCTGATTCTAGGGTTAAGTCCTTCTCCTGAAGCAGGCGTGCACGTAGCTTCTTGTCGACGATACCGCACACTATCTGGTCCCTCACCATCGAGTCCCTAAGTTCGCCAAAATTACAAGTCTGTGCTTTCAACTGAATGTCGCGCAAAAACTGTTCGAAAGGTTCACCATCCTGTTGTTGCCGACTGCGCAGAACGTACCTCTCGAATGTCTCGTTGCACCGAGGCGTGCAGTAGTCTTCGAAGGCTTTGACGATCGAGTCATAGTCCTCTCGTTGTTCTGCTGATAGAGGTAGGGTGTTAAACACTTCAATTGCCTCTGGGCCCGCGACGTGTAGAAAGATGGCAGCCTTCTGTGCTGGCGTCCGTTTCTTGTTGGTCTCAGTAGCTTTGAAGTAGAGTTCGATTCGTTGGCGGAACTTTTTCCAGTTGTCGGCCGGAGTATTTGTCAGTACAAGTGGCTCGGGTGGTGGTAGGCAGTCCATCTTCAGCGCAGGGTTCGACTGTTACACTTCTGACACCATGTTCTGCTTTACGCGCTCAGCAAAGACACAACCACACGAGACGCTAGCTAGCAAGGGACTGTTTATTGATGGCTGCCGCGCCGCGCGCGCGCCCTCTCTCAAGGTGGCCAGGTGAGGTGGGATCATCCCGATTTATTAAGCGGTGGCCCGCCTGGTACAACACACCACCTTACCGGATGGCCAGTCGGATATAACCACGTCCAGCCGCAAGAGCGTTCAAAAGGTAACTTCTCATCGTTCTCGAACTTCTCGAAAGAAACGCAAGACAATAGCTCGTGATAACAGAGGAGGCAAAGAAGCCGCCAAACCTGTTGGCGGTTTATTACGGTCCACAAAGTCAACATCGCTGTTGGAAACCAACCCAGCATTGCAAAAATTAGATGACGCAAAGGATTCCGAACCTAGACTTACTGGCGACATTACACCCGGCGAAAAACACAGTTCAACTGGTGACGCCTTTGAAATAGAGCATCCTCTTCTGCGTCTGCCCACGTCTGAAGACCTAGAGCGAGCCGATGTCAAACCGGAGAAATACAGGGATCCTGCCCACCTCACATGTCATGGATCCGGGCGACCGCCTAGCAGGATCAGTTTGGACGATCCCCACAAGCATTCGGAAAAGCAAGCTGGGAGACGCCTCTTGGCAGGGAAACACAAAAGGAGCTTATCGCCAGGCTCCAAACACCGCTCGACGTCGTTCAAAGCGTCTCAAATCGCAGAATCTAGCAAACATGTTACCCTCGTTGGCCGTGAACAGTGCGAGCAAGTCGCCATCAGCACTAAAACCAGGCCCACCGTTGCCTTAACGTTGGTCGACATCGCGGAGTCGCACAGGAACGGGACTTGGCTTCCACGTAGGCGTCCTTCTGCCACCACGCGCTCAAGCGTAGCACCCGGTGACAGAGGGTCCGTCAAGTATGAAAAAGCCCATGCATCCTTGTTCCAGGCCGCCAGCCCTGAGGACTACGAAGTGCACGGCGGCAGAATATCCAGCGAGGAGCATGTTCTATATCCGTTAGCGGCATTCCTCTTAGTTGGCTTTGGACTGGTAGTCATCTTTATTTTCCTTCCACGTGACAGTACGGCACCACATGCCAGTCCCAATAAACACCATCAAAAGATCACTTGTGAGTCACCAAGCTGCATTAGGGACTCGGTCTATCTTAGCCGCCTTCTTTCGTGGGACAAAGTTAACCCATGCGACGATTTTCGCGCATTTGTCTGTCGACAGTGGGAAGGGAGCTACGCCACACCATCTCCAGGGTCCTTCGTTTCAGTGGACGACGATCTTGCGGCTTTCCTCGAAGGTGAATTCTACGCCTACCTTCAGGAAGAATCGTCGCAAAAGAACAGCCAGCTGCAGCCAATCATCGACCTTCATCGAAAGTGCATGGACAATACACGCATTGAGGATACCGGATGGGATCCTTTGCTCGAGCTTATGTCCCGCGTTTCTCTCGACGGATTCCCACTCACGCCACCGGTAAGAAAGACTCTCTCAGTGTGGCGAACGGCAGCGAAGATACTTCGATTGACAGGAACCGCATCGTTGCTCGGAGTCGGTGTATGTTCCACTCATTCAACGCTAGACGCCGCCATAGTGTCTATAGGGCTCCCCGATACGATAACTAATAATGACAGTGTCGACGTGAATGAGGCCGTTCGTCTTTACACCAGCACTGCTTTTGCGGCTATGAAAGCGTTGAAGAAGCAGTACATGCCACCGTCGTTCACTTTGAACATCGTCAAATTTGCGACCGACCTTGAGAAGCTCGCCGATGTGACGACCACGGAAAATGCCACCATTTTGGTCAATTTGCAGAAGTTTCCGCGGCTTGCCATTTTTCTGCAAGAAATCTTCAAGGATGTCAATTCGACTCTTTACTCTGGTGAAAGAACGGAAGCCATGATTCAACCTGCCAGCGCTGTGAACGAGATAGTACAGCTCGCTGACGACACCGACATCGCCACCGTAATGAACTACCTCGGCGTTCGACTTATGACTGAGGTCTCCCCGTTCATTCCGCATTCTAAACTCACCGAATTCAATAGCGCGCTTCTTTACGGAAAGCGTAGGGGCAACTTGCCTCGCTGGGAACTGTGCCTGAGAGCCGCGGAAAAGGCTCTTTTTCCAGTGGTGAACCTGGGTGTTCTCACGGATCTCAACGAGCACGTCTCCATCTCCGGGCTTCGAAACTTCACGAAATATGTTATCGCGGAATTCAAGAACGACATTGACAAATCTACATACTTCACGCCAGCGTCCAAGGACATTATTCGAAGCGTACTGAACACGACGCGCCTGGTAGTCGCCGGACCGGACTGGCTGAGCGACAGCGTCGCAATCGATGCGTACATTCAGGCGCTCCAGGTGGGCGCTGCAGGCGAGAGCAACGCCCTTGACACCTACGTCATCTACCACGAGCGCACTTTCCTGGCATCACTCGCACGTGGTTCGGCGCAGCGTTGGAGCCGTTCCACTTTCAGTCCAAACTGTTGGTACGAGCCTTATCCGGACACCATATATGTTCCCTTGCTGGTGTTTAACGTATCGAGAGCCAAGGACAAGGGCGCGGATGCCATGCAGTTATCTCGTGCGGGACCTCGTCTGATGCGCTGCGCCTTCGATGCGCTTATTTCAAAGACACGTGCTTCGACAGGAGTTTATGACCAATGGCTCGAGGGAAAAACCAAGGACAAACTACGGGAGCTTGAGGCATGCCTAAGCTCACCTGAAGCTTCGCTGATGGATCGCTTCGAGAGAACCCGCGATGTGCTTGAAGCTAACTTTTCTTTCACGCGTTTTGTTAAGGCCGCCAGAATGTCTGAGCACCCACTTGCTCTTACAGTACCTCCGAACCGCTTTTTGACAGGAGAGCAGCTGTTCTTCATCTACTTGATGCTGCAGAGCTGTGAAAAGGGCGGTGGGTCAGAGAACCGTGCTCCCAACGCTGGTAGAGAGTGGAATATCGCACTTCGGAACACCGAACAGTTCCCGGCCGAGTTTAGCTGCAGTCCCGAAACGCCCATGAACGTGCAAACGAAGTGTCTCAATGTATAATTGTGCATACTTATTCCTTGAAGGTTCAAAGCCTTCTTCAAGAATTACATGCCAAAGATCAATATTATTATGTGTTATTCTATGTTCAGTGCCAATTGTAGAT